TGAAATGATCATTTGTTTTGGAACTTGTAAAATAACTTGTAATGTTGGTTTGCACCTCCCGGCCACCGTAGTATCCGCCCCCTGTTGACCATCTTAGGTTATGTCACCTGCAGCAACACAATGAGTTAAATAATGACTACTGTCTTTATGTTTCTGAATCAGAAATGCAGCTTATCCATCCCCTGCTTTAATTAACAATTTAACTTAAAAAAAAAAAAGAGAGTAAATCAGACAGCTTTATTTTATGATGAGATCAACCCAGAGCGGTGATTGTGACGCAGATTCGTAGCAGCAGCAGCAGCATCTGCTGTTTCTCGCTGATGTTTTTTGCCACTCCTGAATCGCGCAGTCACGCGTCGCACCCATACTCTGCTGTCAGTCCTATGATCGGCTCCTGTCCAGAGGAAGCACGCCTGCTTTTCAGGGGGATTTTCGCCTCTCTTCTGCTTCTTCTTTCACTTTCATACTCGCAGAGTTTGAGCGCACATCCAGACCCAGAAAAGGTAAAAAAAAAAAAAAAAGCTTCGACTAGAAACACGCAACTTTGTCTAAAGCTTTGCTTTGCATCAGATTTATTACTGTAGGGTAATTTCCGGGTAGTTTCTGCTGTGACAGTCAGACACACTGCGTTCATATTATCGCACATATAATGACAGTGTTGATATAAACTTAGAAATGTATATATCTCAATTGAACTTGTTTAATATGTACAAATGTGTACGTTTAGTTGTAGAGTAGAGCATATGTCGCCCTACCCACCTGTTATTACAGGTACCTGCTTTGCTGTCTGCATTAATCTTATTTCCAAAGGAGTTAGATTGAATTTTGAGATATTTTACAGTGCGTATTTAGGATTTTTCCAAATTGTTTCCCAGTCTGCTTTCATTATTTTATCTTGTTTGTTTTCCTTAATTATTCCAATCGTCTTTAATCAAGAAACCAATTTAATGAGGATTCCTGTGCAGCAGTAAACAGTTTGGGAGGTTCATTTGACCTGCTGTCTAGGATAGGAAGGAATAAGAATTGCCCAAGCTCTCTAGACTCAAACATAAACTTTTTTTAAAAACAATTATTTCTATTTTTTTTTTTTTTTTGACATCTTTTAAACAAAACTGAGGTTTATGTTTACATTTTTTTTTTATTGTAAGAATAATAAATATTACAAATTAAAATAAAAGAGTCCCTATTTTTTAGCCCATAGACGTTAGAGTGAAAACTGTGTGTATATTGTCTGTAGGGCTGATGCCAAAACAACAGAGTGGGAACCCAGGTTCAGCATTGTGAGGTTTAGAATTACAGGCAGTTAATGGACTTGATTTTAATTCATTACAGTTTTTCCATCTTTAGCAAAGCCGAACAGAATCAGCCATGGTGGTGATCAGCAATGCAGATTTTTCCCTGGACTTGTTCCGCACACTGAGCCGAGCGAAACCAGCTGGGAATATCTTTGTCTCTCCGCTGAGCATCGGCTCGGCCATGGCGATGGTCTACCTGGGTGCTAAAGGAGACACTGCTACTCAGATGGCGAAGGTCAGCAGACACTCCCTCCCTCACATGATCACCTTTTGAAGTTTCTGTCAATGCCAGCACCTGTTTTATTAAAAAAGGGATTTAAAATAGGCTTTCTGCCAAGTATTATGTAATGTAGTCAAGCTCCACTTGTGTTCTACAACACACTTATCAGGTCTTTTAATCAAGTTGTGTATCTAAGGCTAACTGACAGGTGTGTCCTGGGTGAGGCGCTTACTGCATATGGAATCTCTAACCTGTACTTTGACCTCATTTTACAGCCCTCGGAACAAGCCTTGCATTGTTCCTAAACCTGAACGTTTCAAAAAAAATAAAACTTGTTCCTCACAAATAAAGTTTACAATGAGTTTGATTAATAGATTTTGTGTTTCCCAAATAAAGTTTGGTTTTCCCCGCTGTTACTTCTCTCAGGCCCTCTCATTCACTGCCGGTGAAGGCGTCCATGCAGATTTCCAAACACTAAACGCTGAAATAAACTCCCCGTCTGCATCGTACATCCTGAAAGTGGCCAACCGTCTCTACGGAGAGACCTCTTCCAAGTTCCTCCCTGTGAGTTTCTGCCAGTCAAACTGATTTAAGATGTGCTAAAGTCAACTTTGATTAAACCCTCATGTTAAATCTGCAGAAATTCCTGGAAGACACAGAGAAGTTCTACCAAGCGGATCTGAAGCCTGTGGATTTCATTGGAAGCCCAGAGGACTGTAGAGCAGAGATCAACAGCTGGGTGGAGCAGCAGACAGAGAGTTAGAATATGACTGTTAATCCATCCATCCATTCATCTGAGTTTGTTCTCGGCTCAGGATTAAGTGTTCCATTTCTTTTATATGTTTTTTGCAGATAAAATAAAAGATCTTTTAAAGCCAGGAACCGTCAACACAATGACCAGACTGGCTCTGGTGAACGCCATCTACTTCAAAGGAAACTGGATGAGTCGCTTTGATGCGTCTCAAACCAAGGAAATGCCTTTTAAAGTCAACCCGGTAAAAACACTTTTCGGTCGACGTTCGAACTGCGATAAATGTGAAGCTGGATTTCTTCGAAAACAAGTTCTCTAAAACTCTGATCGCCCCTCGTTTTCTATTCTCGTGTGTCAGAATGAGACAAAGACGGTCCAGATGATGTACCAGGTGAAGAAGCTGCCTTACAACTACATCCCTGACTTGGGACTGCAGATCCTGGAGCTTCCATACGTAAATGAGGACCTCAGCATGTTTATCCTCCTGCCAGAGTTGGCTACAGGTGACTCAGACCCTTTGCTGAAGGTAAAATCTCAATTTTGTTTTTCAAGCTCAGTCTCTAAAATCTACAGAACACATAAGGGCAATTTAATCAGCAGATCTTTTACTTCTGCAGCTGGAAAGCGAGCTAACGCCAGAGAAGCTGGACGAATGGACCAACAGAGCAAATATGGATACCCAAACAGAAATCATCATCCACCTGCCAAAGTTCAAGCTGGAGGAGGACTATGAGCTGAAGGAACATCTGTCCAAGATGGGAATGACAGATGTGTTCTGCGCTGGCAAGGCCGACCTAGCAGGCATGAACGGAGAAGGGGGGCTCTTCTTGTCTACGGTGGCCCACAAGGCCTTTGTGGATGTGAACGAAGAGGGGACGGAAGCCGCCGCAGCCACAGCTGGCATGATTTCATTCTGCATGCTGCGAGAGGAGCACTTCCAGGCAGATCACCCCTTCCTCTTCTTCATCAGGCACAACAAGACCAAGTCCATCCTCTTCTTTGGCAGGCTCTCATCTCCTCAGTAGAACTGAAGTAGCAGCTAAGTTTGATATCTAAGTAAAAGCTGGAAATGTTCCCACATTCATCAAATGATCCATCAGTATGTTCATTTCAACTAGGAATAAATTACAATAAAGTAAATATGCAAGTAAAACTCTGGTAATCTGATTACTCTATAGTGAAATTGGTTTGTATCATTTATCATGATTTGAAAGTTAAGCATTTCCTGAACTTTGAGTCAAACTGTTTCCTATAAATCTGAAGCAGCGTTTGATTTTAACAGCTTGAAATAAGCGTTACATCTAGATTAAGGATGATTAGAAATAAACTGAGCTGAGCCAAGTGGAAATGCTGCTGCAGTGACATGTTGGAACTCATCATGCTGCTGCATGTTTTTTTTCCTAACCAGGAGTAATTATTTTTAATTGCCCATATTGAGCAAAATGTTTTGCAGTAGTAAAATGCATATTTGGTTGTGCTTTTATACTTCTTCAGTGATGAGCCTCAGTGTCTCCATCCTTAAAATCAGACGCCTTTGCTCAGTTGAACTGTCCAAAGTTTAGGAAGTCCTAAACCCTTCAGCCTCTTTGCTTTGCCGCAGCTTCATCAGCTCCTGGTTACCATTTGCTTATGCTGATATTTCTTCTTTATGTGTTCATCCTAAGAGGCGGCATGATGAGAATAACTTTTATCAGGTCTGTCGACTTCGTTTGCATCCTTAAAAATCTCTATCAGCACTTACTGGATTTAGGTGTGTATGTTTATACACTCACACACAGGATGTGTGAGCTGGGTTCTTTATCCAGTTTTGGTACTTATGATGAGATTATACTACCAGAATGAATTTTTGCACTTTTCTAATATACGTCATTATTCCAACTCAACACTCAAAATGTATATTAATATTTGTTAAACCTTTGCTTTTGAAAAATTAAAATGTGAAATAACACATTAGCTTGGACTGAGATGGACAATATTGCATTTTAATAAATACATTTTAACATGGTTGATCACAAGATGCAAAACTAGGGGTGCTGCTTCTTCAGCGTATTCAGTGTATCTTATTCTTAAACAGTATTACAGAACTAAGAAAAGTAATTTTAAAACGTAATTAAAAAAACTGAACTTGAATAAAAAGTTAAATATACCGGTCCGTTGTGGTGAAGGGACAGCTGGGCCAAAAAGCAAAGCTCTCGATTTACTGGTCGATCTAAGTTCCTACCTTCATATGTGTTCATGAACTTTGGGTCATGACTGAAAGAACGAGATCCTGGATCCAAGCAGCTTTTTTCTGAGTGTTTTTGGGCTCTCGCTTAGAGACAGGGTGAGGAGCTCAGAGTAGAGCCACTGCTCCTCCACATTGAGAGGAGCCAGTTGAGGTGGCTCGGGCATCTGGTCAGGATGCCTCCTGGACGTCTCCCTGGTGAGGTGTTCCAGGCACGTCCCACCAGGAGGAGACCCAGGACACTCTAGAGGGACTATGTTTCTCGGTTGGCCTGGTAAAACTTTGGGATTCCCCCAGAGGAGCTGGCCCAAGTGTGTGAGGAGAGGGACGCCTGGGCCTCCGTACTGAAGCTGCTACAACCCAACCTCAGATGAGCTGGATGGATGGATGGATGGATGGATGGATGGATGGAAAAAGTGAAATATACTTATTTTGAATGTGTTTAGTATGTATGGCTTTCACAAAAAAAACAATCTGGGTTGGTGGAATCCCTTAATTAATAATTAGTATTATTAGATTTGCATTTATGCAGAACTATTTTATTTGATGAAATATTAAAAACATTGTTTATCAATAGCAGAAGCTATCAAAACATTTAGGCTACAATCATATGGGGTGTTGATATCGGTGTAATACAGCTCAGCTTCAGAGGTGGTTAGGGTACCCAAAAATTGTACTTGTACAACAGGATATTTTTACTCAAGTAAAAGTAAAAAGTAGTCTTTAAAGAAATCACCCAAGTAGGAGTAAAATATATTTTTTGGTTATAAATCAATAGTCTCAGTATTTGAGAATATGTTAAATTACAGTATAGTGCATTTTTACTCAGCTGGAAAATAACATTTAACAATAAGCCCTGAGAGCAAAAAGGAGGCAAGTGTGTCTCTCAAAGGTACATATTTGTTTAAAGCAATCTTGTTTGCATTAAGTTAAATTACTCAGAAGGGGAGGCGTAGCCAGAAATTTTACCAAAGTAAAAGTAGTGATACTTACTCAAGCAAACGCTTAAATTCTGTAAAACTACTCCTAAGTGTATTTTTTTTTAAGTTACTCAGGTTCATGTAACTGAGTAAATGTAACTAGTTACTACCCGCATCTGCTCAGCTCAAACATTGGCTTCGCATCAGCACTAACTTTTATTTTGAAGAAATAAAACCGGAAGCCTTCTTTCACATTAAGATGTGACGTAGCTTGACGCCGCGTGTCAACATCCTGTTGGAGTGCTGCTTGCTAACCGGTGAGAAACTACTGTTTTATTTATTCATTTAATTCAACCAAAATAGTTTTACCTTTCTCGTTTAAAACCCGAAGAAAATATATTTCTGGGTTTTAATATTTAGTATGAACTTAAATGAATGGATTATTTGATAAATATGTTTTTGCAGTTTTTTTTTGCTAGCAGTCACAAAGTTTGGTAGGATCCTGTAGGACTGGTTTTACCTGTCAGAAAAGTCCTTATGGATTTCCTTGACATTAAACCTGTTATACAGATGATGTTGTTTACTTTCAACCTTCGTAACTCAGGTAAACTATAAAAGATATATTAGGTTTGGATCAATAGTCACTTATAAGAACATATTTCCAACGAGCTGTGAGTGTTTGGTGATATTTTTTAATCTTTAAGTCTTTTTCTAATCCATTATTCTAATTAATTTGTGTTTCCCACTAAGGCTGAAGCAATTAATCAGATTAATTGTGATTCATTGATTATTGAAATAATCGTAAACTAATTTACTTATCGATTAATTGTTAACTAGAGTAAAGAGTAGGGGTGGGTATTGGCAAAGAAGTCATGATTCGATTCGAATCACGATTCACATGCCACGATGCGATTCTATCACGATGCATCACGATACTTGAAATATTGTGATGCATTGCGATATTTTCACTGAACACTGTAAGAACAGTGTTCAGTGAAAACCAGTGGCTGACTGGCTGGGTGTGATCTGGATCGTGTCTTCAATTGATACATGACTAAAAGCAACTGAATTCATACATAGCTGTATTTATTGAAACAACTTTTGGAGGTGTTGCTATGAAAATAAATACTGGACACAAATATTACTATTACTGGTGTGGACACACTGAGAAAAAGATCTTAGGATTTATAAAACTTAAAATAACAAAATAAGGATAATCAGAGCCGTTTACATGGCCTCAGTGGTCCTTTAAACCAATGAAATGAAAACATTCAAATGTATTTTCCCTTTTGAAAATTATGTGCGTCATATTAATTTCGTTTTTACCTTCTTTGTTTTTAAAGCCAAAATGCATCCAAGCATCTGACTTGAAATGTGATGGAGCCGGGCGAATTTTCTCAGGCACCTCCATGTTTTGTTCACGAATGACTCATCTCAGTATCCCGCGGCCAGAAATGCTTGCGACACAAAGCAGCTGGCTTCAACACATCCGCAGCGACATCTGCTGGACTGGAAGTTGTATTCCACTTGATTTGGCTGATGTGCGCCAACCATTAATGTATTTTATTTGTTCATTTTTTTTATTAAGAATCGATTCTTGCCTTCAAGAATCGATGCAGTAGATCACAAGAATTAGAATCGCGATGCATCGATATGACGATTATATTGCACACCCCTAGTAAAGAGACTGTAAAATATGCAAACTGTCAGAGCAACCCACTTCCATTGGCAAGACAAGTTTATTTGTATTGCAAAATTCAGTACAAAGACATTGCAAAGTGCTTTACATTATTAAAATATAGGAAAATAAAATAGAATCAAAGCAAGTAGGAAAAAAAATGCAGAAACAAAAAAGACCATTAAAAACAGTTGGACTAAAGAAAATAAAAAAGTTGAACTAATGATGTTTCAGTTGAACTGTTTACAGTAACTAGAACAGTCGAAGGCAATCCTAAACAAATGTGTTTTTAGTCTTGATTTAAAGGAACTCAAGCTTTTCACACTTTTACAGTTTTACATATTAAAAAATATAAATATTAAAATTGTAAAAAAAGATATATGAACATTTTGCATTTAAGATAACAAAAAAGAATGGTTTTGCCTGTCAACATGCTCTATCCAGAACTCAAGTGGGTAAGTTTTATTTTCACCTGGATTAATTTCCTCAAAGAAATCTTCTTCAAGGAATCTTTGGCTACCTGATTATTAATCGATTAATAAGAAATAATCGACAGATTAATCGATTTGCAAAATAATCCTTCGTTGCAGCTCTAGTTCACACAATCGGCCATAGGTTGGGAAGCTTTAGTACATTTTGTGTTTCTCTTTGGTTGCATTGTAGGAGACAAAGTAAGAAAAGAAAATAATGATGTGGAAAAAGGGCAACAATTTACAAATATATATTTTTTTGGTTCTGATGTTAATTTATGGATTTGCTTATCTTTTGGCCTTTGATATACCTTTATTTATAAAACTTCTTATTTTGCTGATGGTTATTAGTTTTCTTTTTCTGAAAAGGACTTCAACTTTATTGGCGATCTGTCCAGTATTTGCCTGTTTAGATCGTTTGAGCGCTGCCTGGTGTCTGTTTCTAAATAAAAACAGTAACACCTTTTCATTTTGCCACTGGGGAAGTTAAGATTTTCTTTAATAACACCATAATATGAGGGTCACCTTCTGTTAACCTTATTTTGCGTCTTGTTGTTTTTAGATGACCTGTCAGCGTGAATGCACTGGTCCGATGAAGGTGTTGGTCACAGGCGGGTCCGGGTTGGTGGGGAGAGCCATTCAACATGTTGTAGAGAAAGAAGGTGGAGCCAAAGAAGGAGAAGAATGGATATTTCTGTCCTCCAGAGATGCAAACCTCATGTGAGAATCAGTAATATTCTCACATCTGTGCAGCTGTTAATCTTTTTTTTATTTCATGGTGCTTTTGGTTTCACCTCAGGAACAAAGAGGAGACACGGGCAGTTTTTGAAAAACATCGGCCCACCCATGTGATCCAC